AAAAAAAAAAAAAAAAAAGAATACACATAAAAATCACGTAAGATGTGTGATATTTGTTTGGATCCTAGATTAAAACAAAGCAAAATAAACTGCTATAAATGACAATGTCTAGGAAAATAAGAAAAATATAAAAAATTATATAAAATGGATATATGTTAGAAAATTTTACAAAATTCTTGCTCATTTTACTTTTTATTTTTATGTTTTAGAGACAGGGTCTCATTTTGTTGCTGTAGCTGGGTTGCCATGGTGGGATCACGCCTCACTGCTCCCTCAGACTTTTGTGCTCAAGTGATCTTTCCATCTTGACCTCCCAAATAGCTGGTATATAGGCCTGTGCCACTACTCTCAGCTAAAATAAAAAAAATTTTTTTTGTAGAGATGGGGCCTTGCCATCTTGATCTCCTGGGATCAAGTGATCTTCCTGTTTTGACCTTCCAAATGCTGAGATTGCAGGCATGAGCCACTGCACCTGGCCTGCTTATTTTCATACGTATTAACAACAGTATTCTGATTAGATAGAATATTCTAGTTCTTAGGTGGTAATTACTAAAATCTAAGACATACTAAATATCTGTAGTATATTTTCAAATAAATGAATAATAGGGCCAGGCGTGGTGGCTCAGGCCTGTAATCCCAGCACTGGGAGGCTGAGGCGGGTGGAACACGAGGTCAAGAGATCGAGACCATCCTGGTCAACATGGTGAAACCCCGTCTCTACTAAAAATACAAAAAAGTAGCTGGGCATGGTGGCGCATGACTGTAATCCCAGCTACTCAGGAGGCTGAGGCAGGAGAATTGCCTGAACCTAGGAGGCGGAGGTTACGGTGAGCCAAGATCGCGCCATTGCACTCCAGCCTGGGTAACAAGAGTGAAACTCCATCTCAAAAACAACAACAACAACAACAAATAAATGAATAAAATTAAGATAAAGCAACTGTGATACAATATTAATAAATAACAAATCTAGGTTAGAATATATGTGTGTTCATTTGCAATTTTTAAAATTTTTCTGTAGGTTTAAGTATTCTCAAGATACAACTGAAAAAAAAATTAGTATTATCAGGGAAGGTAATTGTCATGATAAACAAAATTTGCTTCTCTAGGCTTTATGGAAAATGGATTAAATAATTTCTAACATTATGTTCAAGCTGTAAAAATGCTTGTATTATTTTCTCTTTCTTTTTTTGAGACACAGCTTCAAAAAAAGCTTTGTTGACCAGGCATGGTGGCTCACATCTATAATTCCAGCACTTTGGAAGGCTAAGGTAGGCGGATGACAAGATCAGGAGTTTGAAACCATCCTGTTCAACATGGTGAAACACCATCTCTACTAAAAACACAAATTAGCCAGGTGTGATGGCGTGTGCCTGTAATCTCAGTTATTCAGGAGGCTGAGGCAGGAGAATGGCTTGAACCTGAGAGGTGGAGGTTGCAGCAAGCCGAGATTACGTCACTGCACTTCGGCCTGGGCCACGGAGTGAGACTTCATCTCAAAAAAAAAAGCCTTGTCACTTGTCACTTAGACTAGAGTGCAATGGCACAAACACAACTCACTGCAGCCTTGGATCCGTGAGCTCAAGTGATCTGTCCACCTCAGTCTTACAAGTAGCTGGGACTACAGGTGTGCCCTACCATACCAGGTGAATTAAAAAAAATTTTTTTTTTTTTTTGAGCCACTACATCTGGCTAATTTTTGTATTTTTAGCAGAAATAGGGTTTCATCATGTTGGCCTGACTGGTCTTGAACTCCTGACTTCAAGTAGTCTGCCCACCTCGGCCTCCCAAAGTGTTGGGATTACAGGCATGAGCCACTGCACCCAGCCTAAATTTCTATATTTTTAGTAGAGACAAGTTCTTGTTACATTGTCCAGGTTGGTCTCCTGGGCAACAACTCCTGGGCTCAAGCAATCCTCCAGCTCCAGTCTCCCGAAATGCTGAGGCAGGAGAGTCACTTAAACTTGGGAGGCAGAGGCTGCAGTGAGCTGAGACTTGAGCCACTGCACTCTAGCCTGGTCGAGAAGAGAGAAACTCCATCTCAAACAAAACAAAACAAAAAAAACAAAACAAAACAAAAAACCTCAAACAAACAAAAACACAAAAAATAAAACTGAAAAGAGAGGTTCGGAGAGTTTCTAGATAGCTGAACATGTGCGGGTTCCCGGAGGGTGGTGCGCTCAAGGAGGGGTGAAAGCCCCATGCTCCTTCACCAATACATTGCTTCGTCTGTATCTTTTGTTATACCCTTTATGATAAACCAGTAAAAGGAAGTACATGTTTCCTTGAGTTTTGTGAGGCATTCCAGCAAATTAATCAAACTCAAAGAGAAAGATGGGCAAACCTCAACTTGAAGCTGGTTAGTCAAAAGTTCTGGAGACTCAGACTTGTGTCAGGTCTGAATGGAGGGTAGTGGTCTTGGGAACTGAGCACCCAACCTATAGGATCTGACACTATATCCAGGTAAACAGTGTCAATTGAATTGAAGGACATCCAGGTGGTGCCTCTTGCTTGGTGTATGGGAAACGCCCCATGATTTTAGTTATAGAAGTTTTCTGCGTGTTTTCAAAATTTTATTTAAAAAAATTTTTGTTTTTTTTTTTCAACCAACAGTTTGCTCTTATTAGTTGATGATTATTGTGATAAGAGAGCAGAGGAAAACCACAGTCTAAGAGGTTTTTCCTAAGCAAGAAATAAAACTTGAATTTCATTTAGCAGAATATCTGAAATATATTTCTGCTCTATTTAGCAAAGACACTGTTCCAAAATTATGACTCAATTAGATGTATCCCAAAGTGTATTTCCACTTTCTCATTTCTACAGACAGAATGCTGATTTTTTTCTTTTTTAAAAAAGGGCCAACTGTCATTAACTCCATCAGCTCATTCATTTTATCTTTAAAAAATTTTTTAAATCTTTTTATTATTTTATTTTTATTTTTAGGGCGTTTTTTTTTCCTTAACAGCTATTACCATCTAGAGTAATGACCATTATTTCGCCAGCCTGTCTTATGGCTAAAGTGTGGCTACACAACTTAAATTCTAGCCAATTTATATACAGGTGAGGTTGAATTTTTCTTACAAAGAAGGAGCATGCTTTTCCTCCTCTCCCTCTTTTCTATCTATAACAAACATCTCATGGCTGAACTCTAGTAGCTATGTTGGAACATGAGGGAATCTTAAAAGTAATGTATGATTAGCGCTGAGATAGAAGGAAAAAAAGGAGCCTAGGTCCCTGAAGACATTGTGAAGGTACCATTATGAATTCTGAATTACATACTTAACAACCTCTCTGAAATTAAAAAAAAATAATAAGTGCCTATTTAAAGTCTTGGTTATTTGAGATGATTTATTATTATAATTAGCAAAATATAAGCTCAATTAGTAAAATGTTTTCATGATCTAAGAGGCACATACAGAGTATAAAAATTTTGTGATACCTACCTCAGTGACAAATCAATAAAAAATCTTTTACATGTAAAATAAGTGGTATGTTTTACATGTCAATTACATTAACAACACCAAATGAGATGTATTTCTAAAACATAAGGTTTCTTCTTTCAATTTTATTCTTCTTTTTGTCTAAGTTCAGATATTCAAGACTTTTTGATAGAAACTGTGAGAGTTTTGCCACCAGTAATTCATTCATTTTCTACCCTGCCGCCAGAATTATCTTAAACAAACCTACACTTTTTACATCCATCCCCCCAAACTCATTTTTGAGTTCCTATAGCAAAATAACATAAAAATGGAATATCTGAAAGTCAACTAAATATCTCAAAGTTCATAGTTACATGTTCCTTATCACATAATGTTTATTTACCACAAGGCCACTGCATTTCAGAAACCCTAAAATTTTAAGTTGTTTAGATATATGAAAAATCTTTGTATCCTAGAATGTGCCTTTTTACATGCTGTTCTAACTGGAATATCATTCTCCATCTGGTAATCTACCAAACCTCTAAATCCTAACTCAACCAGAAAATATTTCTTAATTGATGATAATTTGCTGTCCCTTTGGTGCTTTAAAAATTCTCAATTAGAGGCCAGGCGCGGTGGCTCACACCTGTAACCCCAGCACTTTGGGAGGCAGAGGTGGGCGGATCATGAGGTCAAGAGATTGAGACCATCTTGGCCAACATGGTGAAACCCGGTCTCTACTGAAAGTACAAAAAGTTAGCTGGGCGTGGTGGTGCCTGCCTGTAGTCCCAGCTACTCAGGAGGCTGAGGCAGGAGAATTGCTTGAAACCAGAAAATGGAAGTTGCAGTGAGGCGGGATCGTGCCACTGCACTCCAGACTGGCAACAGAGCAAGAGACTCATGTCAAAAAATAAAATAAAAATAAAAAAATCTCAATTAGAGTGCTTATTAAGTTGTACTTTGCCAAGAGAATACGAAGTTCTTAAAAGCAAGCTAGAGCATAGTGGCTCATGCCTATAATCCCAGCACTTTGGGAGGTGGAGGTGGGCAAATGATGAGGTCAAGAGATTGAGACCATCCTGGCCAAGATGGTGAAACCCTGTCTCTACTAAAAATACAAAAATTAACTGGGTGGTAGCACGTGCCTGTAGTCCCAGCCACTCGGGAGACTGAGGCAGGAGAATTGCTTGAACCTGGGAGGCTGAGGTTGCAGTGAGCCGAGATCACGTCACTGCACTCCAGTCTGACGCCTGGTGACAGAGTGAGACTCTGTCTCAAAAAAAAAAAAAAAAAAAAAAAAAAAAGGCAAGCTAAATATTTTATTCATCTGACAAACTTCATGGAACAGAGAATCTAATCAATGAAAAGTGAAGTCACCAATATCAAAAATGAAGTAACCAAATCATTTTAGTTACACAGCACCATTTTTCGTTTAAGTTAATAAGAAAAGCATCATTAGAATGTATATCTAGAAAGGCAGAGAGAAGATAAAGATCAGAAAGACAATTAGTCTCACACAACACAGGACAGTAGAGTGAACACTGATATTTGAGTCTATTACTTTTGTACTGGTTTCTCCCCTCCCATCAGGGGAGAATTGACCTTGACACAAAGTTTGAGGGAAGCATATTTCATATATGAGCGTGAAAACACAATCATCACGCTTATTAAATACAAAAGGATCTATATTGTTTTTTGATAGTCAAAGTATTCTTTCAAACGTGGAAGAAAAAGGGATGTTAGCTAGAAGGTACTGCTACTTACTCTGTAGTTTTGTAAACGTCAGAATACAGCCCTGCTTTCTGATACTTCTTCTTTGGGGGACGTGGGGCCTTCTTTTCCCTTGGGATGAGAGAAAGCACAGGCTGCAAGGTACTTTCAGGTTCAGGAGGTTTAGCTGGGGTTTCAGGAGGACTGGGAATCTCAACTGGTGCTTCATTAAAGCTAGAAAGAGAAGTTTAAAGATAATTTTATTGTGGAAAAAAATGTTTTCCTACAAATAATTGTCTATTTTTTAAAAATCACAGCAATTAAAAAAAGATCAGTGTAGGCCAAGTGTGATGGCTCACGCTTGTAATCCCAGCACTCTGGGAGGCAGAGGCGGGAGGATCATGAGGTCAGGAGTTCGAGACCAGCCTGGCCAACATGGTGAAACGCCATCCCAACTAAAAATACAAAAATTAGCCAGGCATGGCGGCACACGCCTGTAGTCCCAGCTACTTGGAAGGCTGAGGCAAAAGAATCATTTGAGGCTGCAGTGAGCAGAGATTGTGCCACTGCACTCCAGCCTGGGCAACAGAGCGAGACTCTATCTCAAAAAAAAAAAGAGCGAGAGAGATACGGGGACTTCCTTATCTGGCCGTGCTGAAATAACTGATACCAGACTTCTCCCGACAAGAGATTAACAGAAATACAGTACTCTACTAGATACTGAGAGAAAATTTTATTTTATTTTTTGAGTCAGTGTCTCGCTCTGTTGCCCAGGCTGGAGTGCAGGGGTGCAATCTCAGCTCACTGCAATCTCGGTCTCCTTGGTTCAAGTGATTCTCCTGATTCAGCCTCCAGAGTAGCTGGGATTACAGGTGCCTACTACCATGCCTAATTTGTGTATTTTTAGGAGAGACAGGGTTTTGCCATGCTGGCCAGGCTGGTCTTGAACTCCTGATCTCAGATGATCGCCTGCCTTGGCCTCCCAAAGTGCTGGGATTACCCAGCCTGAGAAAATTTTAAAAAACAATTATCAGATACTGGACAACAGTGCAGCACTGTGATTCTTGAGAAATCAGAAGAAAAAAAATGTGGTGAGTCACACAACCACCTTGGCTTTTTTTTTTTTTTTTTTTTGAGATGAAATCTCACTCTGTCCCAGGCTGGAGTGAAGTGGCATGAACTCAGCTTATTGCAACCTCTGCCTCCCAGGTTTAAGCGATTCTCCTGCCTCCGCCTCCTGAGTAGCTGGGATTACAAGCGCCTGTCACCACATCCAGTTGATTTTTGTATTTTTAGTAGAGATGGGGTTTTACCATGTTGGCCAAACTCCTAACCTCAGGTGATCCACTCATCCAAAGTGATGGGATTATTGGCATGAGTCACTTCGTGTGTGTGTGTGTGTGTGTGTGTGTGTGTGTGTGAGAGAGAGAGAGAGAGAGAGAGAAAGAGAGAGAGAGAGAGAAAGAGACAGAGATGGAGTCTCCCTCTGTCTCCTAGGCTGCATTACAGTGGCATGATCTTGGCTTACTGCAACCTCTCTCCCTGCTGGGCTCAAGCAATTCTCCTACCTCAGCCTCCCGAGCAGCTGAGATTACAGGTGTGTGCCACCACACCCAGCTAATTTGTTTTGTATTTTTAGTAGAGATGGGCTTTCACCATGTTGTCCAGGCTGGTCTCGAACTCCTGACCTCAGGTGATCTACCCGCCTCAGCTTCCCAAAGTGCTGAGATTACAGGCATGAGCCATCATGCCCAGACCGACTTTGCCTTTCTAAGAATGACTGCGGGTCAGGAGTAGAAACCAAGCAGAGTATGACCAAACTGATGAGTTGAAAAGGGATGTATCAGACTACAGAGGGAATGAGATAGCTGGAATTTGTGGAACTGAGTATCAAAATGGAAAAAGCTATGGACAATTACAACTCTAGAAATCTTAACTATGGGTGTCTCTTTTAGGATACTGCTAAACATACACGTGAAGGGTACAATACCATATGGCTGAACAAAGACCGACCAGAAAACTGTAACATGAGCAATTCATACAACTTACACATGATGCCAGACACTCAGATTCTATTAGGCAAAGTAGAAATACATTGTTCAACAACAGGGGACATTAAACAGCAAGCCCAGAGGGTAATGTTATCCACTGTTAGAGGGCTTAACTATCCCTGGAATAAAGACCAGCCGTTGCTTAGTTTAAAAACAATATTCATGAGAATCCAAAGTGATCCATAAGCAACTTAACTGCCTACCAAAGTAAAATAGAATATTTGTAAAGGAAACCAACAAAAACCAGACACACATGTGACATCATTATGTGGTGCATCCAGTAATAAATTTCTACATACGCCAAAATGCAGGAAAATGTAAACTAGGAGAAAAATCATTCAGTAAAAACAGCAATAGAAATAGAAATCACAAAGACAGAAGGGAAAATAACTTTAAAGTACTACTCTACAAGAATAAATCAGAAATTTGGAGGAATATATGAAGATAACGAGGAGAGAAACAGATTTAACAACAACAACAACAACAAAAGGAATACTGAGAATTGATAAACACAAAATCTGAAACAAAAAATTGCAGAGTACTTAATAGCAAATAAAACACTGGAGATCAGTGAACTTGAAGATTAGCAATAGAAACAACACAAACTGACATACAGAGATTAAAATAAAGAAAAGAATCAATTACCTAGAGAATATAATGCTAACAGAATCTCAGAATCCCAGGAAAGGAGAAAACTTAGTATCAAAACAACTGAACACTTGTAAACAACAAAACCAGATATAAAATGATGTAATAGTCATAAAAAACTCACACTGAAAAAAATTGAGAGTAATGGCTAAAAAATTTCCCAAATTTGATAAAAAGTATAACCTCAAAGTTAGAAGAAACTAAGCAAATCACAGGCAGGATAAACTTGAATAAAACAAATAAGCTACAATATATTATAATAAGCTTGCTGAAAACTACTGATGAAAGAAACAAAAGAAGCTGAAGAAAAAACCACATATTATAAAAAGGGGTATAAAAATGAGTTTAGAGGCTGAACACAATGGCTCACGCTTGTAATGCCAGCACTTTGTGAGGCTGAGGTGGGAGTATTGCTTGAGTCCAGGAGTTCAAGACCAGCCTGGGCAACACAGTAAGACCTGTTTCTTAAAAAAGTTTAGATCTCATATCCGAAACAACACAAACCAGATGTAATGACATCTAAGAGTGCTAAAAGAGGAAATGGGGAAGCTTATCAAAATATAAATCTAAATCAAACAAAAACATCTTTAAAAAAATAAAAAATGTACTTGATTCAGCAGCACATATACTAAAACTGGAACAATACAGAGAAGATTAGCATGGCCCTCATGCAAGAATGATATGCAAACTTGTGTTCTTTTTTTTTTTTAGACGGAGTCTGGCTCTATCACCCAAGCAACCTCCACCTCCAGGGTTCAAGTCATTTTCATGCCTCAGCCTCCTGCATAGCTGGGATTATGGCACATGCCACCACACCCAGCTAATTTTTGTATTTTTAGTACAGACGGAGTTTCACCATGTTGGCCAGGATGGTTTCAACCTCCTGACCTTGTGATCCACCATACCCAGTGAAGTGTTCCATATTTTAAAACAAAGCATTGTACTTAGAAAATAATAAAGGTGATTCTTGTTCCAGAAAAAAATGGAACAGATGCACATTTACCTCTCATTTTGCTAAGTACAACTAAAAACTCTGGAAATCATCTATAAAATAAACATAAGAAAACATACTGGCAATAACAAGGCAGGAAGTTTGCCAGATATTTGTTTGGCCTCATGTGTACAGGATAATGTGTATAAAGATTCCCTGTTATCAAGGACAAGGAAAATATATGCTTTCATCATGTATGTTCAGTATCATAATAAAGGTCCTAGCCACTGCAAAAAGGCAAGAAAAAGAAAATAATATTGAAAAGGAAGAACTATCTCTACTCACACATTACATGAATGCCTATATAAAAACACCCAAAGACTCTACAAAAGAGAAACTACTATACTTAGTGAATTACACGGCAATGTTGCAGAACCCAAGGACAAATTCAACTGTATTTCTATGTTCTATCAATGAGAAAATGGAAATCAAAATTAAACAATGCTACTTACAATAGTAGAAAAGAGGCCAGGTGGGGTGGCCCACTCCTGTAATCCCAACACTGTGGGAGGTAAGGAGGGCAGATCATATATGGTTAGGAGTTTGAGACCAGTCTGGCCAACATGGTGAAAGCCTGTCTCTACTAAAAACACAAAAATTATCAGGGTGTGGTGGCATGAACCTGTAGTCTAGCTCCTTGGGAGACTGAAGCAGGACAATTGCCTCAACACAGGATGGTCTCGATCTCTCGACCTCATGATCCACCCACCTCGGCCTCCCAAAGTGCTGGGATTACAGGCTTGAGCCACCGCACCTGGCAAATTTTTGTATTTTTAGTAGAGACAAGGTTTCACCATGTTGACCAGTATGGTCTCGATCACCTGACCTTGTGATCTGCCCACCTTGTCCTCCCAAAGTGCTAGGATTACAGGCACCAGTCACAATGTCTGGCTAATTTTTTTTTCTATATTTAGTACAGACAGGGTTTCACCATGTTGATCTGGCTGATCTTGAACTCCTGACCTCAAGTGATCCACTTGCCTCGGCCTCCCAAAGTGTTGGGATTACAGGTGTGAGTCACCGTGCCCAGCTCACTTTCTGTTCTTCAAAAAATAATTAATATTAGCTCTGGCAATGGGTATGAAGTAGTATCTCCTTGTAGTTTGGGTTTGCATTGCCCTAATGATTAGTGATGTTGAGTATCTTCCCATGTGTTTATTAACCATTTGTATATCTTCTTTCCAGAACAAAGTACTTGTGTCTGCATTCAAAGCCTGTTCAGGAATATCCTTTCTTGCTAATGATTTCCACCCCTACCCCTGCCAAAACAGAGTCTCATTGCA